ACTATGCCCAATGCAGAAGTCAGCCCTGGGAAACTGGCAACAGCAATGCCGGTTTCAAACATTGGCGTGCATTGGACTTTCCTAGAAAGCTCATGAGCAATGTGGATTGTTGTACTTTGCCTTCTGAGGTTCCGATTCCGTAGGTCTGGAGTGTGACCCTGGAACCCGGTGCATGTAGGTGTTCTCATGCAGGTGATACCTGATCATTGTTTGAGGGGCATGGGAGGACTTTTTTTTTTTTTTTTAGATAGGGTCTTGCTCTGTCACCCAGGCTGGAGTGCAGTGGTGTGACCACAGCTCACTGCAGCTTCAGACTCCTGGGCTCAAGCAATCCTGTTGCCTCAGCCTCCCAAGTAGCTGGGACTATAGGCATGGGCCACCATGCCCAGCTAATTTTGTAAACTTTTTTTTGTAGAGATGAGGGCTTCGCTGTGCTTTCCAGGCTTGTCTCAACTTTCCCGGCTCAAGCAATCCTTCCACCTCAGCCTCCCGAAGTGCTGAGGTTACAGGTGTGAGCCACTGTGTCCAGCCAGGAGGACTTTTGGGGGTAAGGGGACTCCCTACAGTTCCTACAGTTTTATTTTATTTTATTTTATTTATTTTATTTTATTTATTTTATTTTATTTTATATTTTATTTTATTTTATTTTATTTTATTTTATTTTATTTTTTGAGACAGAGTCTCGCTCTGTCCCCCAGGCTGGAGTGCAGTGGTGTGATCTTGACTCACTTCAGCCTTAATCTTGGGCTGAAGCAATACTCCTGCCTCAGCCTTATGAGTAGCTGAGACTACAGGTGTGTGCCACCATGTGTGGCTAATTTTTGCATTTTTTAAAGTAAAGACAGGGTTTTGCCATGCTGGCTAGGCTGGTCTTGAACTCCTGACCTCAAATGATCCACCCGCCTCGGCCTCCCAAAGTGCTGGGATTACAGGCTTGAGCCACCGCGCCCAGCCCTATTTTATTTTTTATTTTATTTTATGTTATTTATTTTTTGAGATGGAGTCTTGCTCTGTTGGCCGTGCTGGAGTGCAGTGGTGTGATCTCGGCTCACTGCAAACTCTGCCTCCTGGATTCAAGTGATTCTCCTTCTGCCTCAACTTCCTGAGTAGTTGGGACTACAGGTGTGTGCCACCATGTGTGGCTAATTTTTGCATTTTTTAAAGTAAAGACAGGGTTTTGCCATGCTGGCTAGGCTGGTCTTGAACTCCTGACCTCAAATGATCTGCCTGTCTCAACCTCCTAAAGTGCTGGGATTACAGGCGTGAGCTATCACGCCTGCCCTGCCTACAGCTTTTACAGCCCACACTTAGCCCCCTTACTTGCTGGGTGGTGGCATTTACACATTTTGTGCTGCTTTGAGCCTATTTCTTCATCTCTAAGGTTGGGATGATGACACCCACCTCATGGTGTCACGGAGAAGCTTGCTGGGTACTCAGGACTCACATCTGGGGCAGCTGCTGAAATCTCAGCTCTGAGGCAATGGGGGGAATTGTGCAAATGCTGTTTGGGGACATTGTGTGAGCTGAGGTCACAAACTGGGGCGGTGTCAGCAAGGATGAGGGTGGCAGGCTGTAAACCCCAGGGCAAGACATTGCTTGCGAGGGGAGTATTTGCATCCTATGCAAGATTTCTGGGCATCAGGATGGATAAAGGTGAGGGTAAAGGGATAATTCCCGGCCCCAGGAAGGACCTGCATGAGGGTCAAAAGCCAGCAGGATGGTTCGGCCCATAGGGAACACTGGCCAATGGACAGAGAGGTGGGTAGGGGCATTTCCCAGCATCTACACTGCAGCATCACAGAGTTAGATGTTCCCATCTGCTAACAGCCCTTTCCCTTGAGACCCACAGGTGGGAAAGGCTCCCCGCAATCACCGCCATGTGGCTATCATGCTAGCTATCCTTTGAGGTTTCCCTACTCGCTGCTCGCACCTTTGCAAACACAGCTAATTCCCGTCATTTACAGTAATGGTCTATAAAGCCACCACGCACCCTCAATCAGGGAATGCTGAACCATGGCTCATGGGGAAACACAGGGTTGGATTTCTGTGAGCCTCTGGTCACAGCCCTTTTGTCAACAAATCAAGACATAAACTTGTTTTGTGTGTTTCTATTGAAAAAGACTTTATTTGGCCAGGTGCGGTGGCTCATGCCTGTAATCCCAGCACTTTGGGAGGCCGAGGGAGGTGCTCAGAAGTTCATTTGAGGTCAGAAGTTCGAGACCATCCTAGCCAACATAGTGAACTCCCCCGCTTTCCTAAAAATACAAAAATTAGCTGGGCATGGTGGTGCGTGTCTAATTCCAGCTACTCGGGAAGCTGAGGCAGGAGAATCGCCTGAACACAGGAGGCGGAGGTTGCAGTGAGCCAAGATTGCACCACTGCACTCCAGCCTGGGCACAAAGAGTGAGACTCTGTCTCAAAAAAAAAAAAAAAGACACCTTATATAATATATGTGATGGATTCATGCACACGGAAGTCACGGCCACAGCACTGTAATGCATGCCTGAATGAAGCTTATCTAACACATGTATTTTTTCCCCTAAGACACATTTCAGCCTTCTTGTGCTCAGGGACGGTAGACAGCACTTCAGCACGATCCCCTGGAAGTCATTTTAAATAGCAAAAATCACCAACGAAATACACAAAAATGCAAAAAAAAAAAAAAAAAAAAAAGAGAGAGAGAGAGATGCTAAATAGGCTGCAACAAGGACACTTGTTTACGGTAAGAGAACTGGCACAAAAAGGCAGCAGCATCTTGTTTGACCTCAGAGGGGCAATGTGCGCATCAGGTGGCTAAAAACGTTTTCATGGCTCTGTGCAAATGATCGTGAAAGCACTACAAGTACTGATTTTGAAGTGACAAATACATTTCGGTAAGTGAATTAGCAAGTGAATTGGGGGATAATGAGCATCAACTACTGTGGTCTCTTTCTTAAACTTCTTTCTTTCTCTCTCTCTCTCTCTCTCTCTTAAGACAGAGTCTCACTCTGTCACCCAGGCTGGAGTGCAGTGGGGCAATCTCAGCTCACTACAACCTCCACCTCCAGGGTTCAAACGATTCTCCTACCTCAGTAGCTGGGACTACAGGCGCCCACCATCACGCCTGGCTAGTTTTTGTATTTTTAGTAGAGACAGAGTTTCACCATGTTGGCCAGGCTGGTCTCGAACTCCTGACCTCAAATGATCTGCCCGCCTCGGCCTCCCAAAGTACTGGGATTACAGGCATGAGCCACCACACCCGGCCCTTAAACTTAGTCTTTCAAATGGAGTGTGCTGTTTCTTGTTGGTATCCTGACTGGTACTGGGAAGAAATGCTTGAAGAAGAACAGTTTATGTGGAAGTCTGAGCCCCAAAGAGACTGGGGGCCTGTAACCCCGAAGCTGTAGAGTCCGTCTTGACATGAGGGAGCTGGCTGTGATCCACAATGCTTCTGAGTCAGCCCAATGGAGCTGAGCCCCAGCTGAACTCCTACCCAGTTCTGTCATCCTGGGCAGATGGCTCTCTTTTTGCCCATGCATTTTTCTGTCCAATGGCCATAATTTACCCAATCTCCATTCTGCTGTTTTGGTGACTCATTCAGATCCTGGTCGCTGCTTGAGATGCGGAGCATGACAGGTTCAAATCCTTCTTTACCCATCTCTTGACTGTGTAACCCGGGAAAAATGAGAAGAAAAATGAGCTTCATTTTCTTCTCTGCAAAATGTTGGTGCTTGGGTCCATACGACTGGCTGGCTCTGCCTAAAAGATACCAACATTTGTGAGGGCCATTCTTGGCATAGGCACTGTGAGCTCCACGATGGAGGGACACATCCTCGCTGTATCCCTGGCATTTCACAACGCCTCTGACACAGAGCAGTTGCTTAGGAGATATCTGTGCCTGTAATGCACGTTCCTTCTGTATGTGTGCAACACCCTGAGTCTTCCTGTGAAGAGCAGATAAGAATCATAGCTCAACGTGAGGGGTCCTGCGATGGCAGGGTGTCCAAGAGGCTACCGGAATACCTAGAAGGACCTGAACCAGAGGCACACCCAGATGGATGACGTTAGCTGCACCAGATCAACCTTTGACCTCCCTGAGGGTGGGGACTACATCAGCCCTGCTCACTGCTTTATTCTCAGTGCCGGGCTCAGGACCAGACACGGCATGGGGTAGGACAGAGCAGAGCTCCTAGAAGTTCCACTTAGAGTGCAGGCTCCTGAGTCTGGAATGAAAATTCCAGCTTTGCTACTTCCTGTGTGACCTTGGGCAAGCTGCACAGCCTCTCTGTGCCTGTTTCTTCAACAGTAAAATGGAGATGCCAGTAATAACAGCTCGGGTGCCTTGAGGATATACTATGCAACCACCATGCTACAGGGCTTTCATGCATGAACTCATCTGTCCTCACAGCCACCATTTTTTTTTTTTTTTTTTTACACAGAGTCTCGCTCTTGTCTCCCAAGCTGGAGTG